ATAAGAGAATGCAGCTGTTCACATTTCCCAGGTACACTACAACTTCATTTTTTTCCCCATTATCTGTGTCCCTTTCTCAAAGAAAAAACAGATATATTATAAAGTCATTTTGCTATTTAAAAAACCAAACTTCCTTGTCCAAGAAGGACTATATCAATGTTCACTGTGCAGCAGGAGTAATCCTGTAGCGAATACAAGTGCAGCAACTTCAAACCCTCACAGACTGAGTGTTGGAAAGGCACAGTTTACCAGCTGAGAAAACCATCAAAATAGTTTCCTCTCTAAAATGTCCAAACACTTCCCTGCCTCCTCAACAAAGCATCAAAAATATGACTTAAACTTTTCTTAATGACATAAAGCACTTAAAAAGAACAATAAACTTGAAATTAGGAGGACTGGGTTTGATTAACTGGATCAAAAAATACTGGGAGAAAGATCTTAGTCAATGCACTGCATCTCTCTGGGCTTGTCACCTTTCAAATGGGTTTGTCACATTCCTCAGAGCTGTTTTTCAAAAAATTATTTATTTTTTAACTGACATGTATTGATTGTATATATTTATGGGGTAACAGAGTAATATCTCAATACACATATACAATGTGTGATGATCAAATCAGGGCAATTAGCATATTTATCATCAAAAATTTATCATTTCTTTTGTGATGAGAGCATTTAAGCTCCTCTCTTCTAGCCATTTGAGAATATACAATAAGTTATTGTTAATTATAGATGCCTAGCACTACCGTACACCATTAGAACTTATTTTTCCTACCTAGCTGTAACTTTATATACATTAACCGACCTCTTCCTATCCCCCTCACCTCTACCTCTTCCCCACAACTTGTAACCACAAACCTCAGAGCTGTTTTAAAGATTAAGTTAAACAGCGCACATAAGTGCCTAGCACTGTGTCCTGGTGCTCCATGAAATGTCAGCCCCCTTCCCGCCCCTTCAGTAAACCATGTAAACAGATGAATTACTGCTGTATGCTGTAGGCCTGTCACCCCCGGCAGATGTACATTCAAGAATGAGTTTCTTGTGTCTGGACAGAACAAATACAACCCCAGGTCTGGCCCTAGGTCTTACTTTTCTTTTCTTGTTTTTTTTTTTTTTTAAGGCACTTACACCAGCTACTTATATTTATTTATTTTTTTATTTGGTTTTCTTTTTTGTTTCATAAAAGTGAAATTTGAGCATGTGAGGCATATGATTCTTGGGCATTGGGATATGGTTGTCCTTCCGCAAACTTCTTCCCTCTTGCCAAGTAGTTTTCCTACCCTTCAAAAACTCAGCTCCCCTTCTCAGATCCTCTGGGCCACAGGCATCGAACATAACATGCGTACGTATGTGTGTGTGTGTGTGTGTGTGTGTGTGTGTGTGTGTATGTGTGTGTGTGTGTTTGTGTAAACAGCCATTCTGAAGGAAACCCCAAAGCAATCAAGGCAAACAATAAGGCAGCCACTTATATTTGCATGTGTACTTTAACAGACTTCACAGCAATTTTTATGCACTTGAGTTTACTAATAACTTACACATGCATTACAGCCTATAGCCTCTAAGCTTAAACTGTTTAGTTGTTAATGCAACTGAGTACAGAAACTTACTAGGATAGTTTTATCAAAAAGCCGGTATTTACTATTTCATCACCACTGAGTACCAGTGAAGTATGCGATACGGGTTATCAATCTTGCTTTAGAGATGGGCAAATGCAGGTGCAACTATAATTCAGGTGTAAAGAGAGAAATACACTCAAGACACAATTGAGAGCTGGTATAGTTCTTTACATCTGTAAACCAAAAAGCACACAACACATTATTTACTCACCTCACTAAGAATATGTTTTGGCAATTCTGTGAACAAGTGCCTGCCTTAATTTCCTAAGGCATGAAATATGTTTGGTTTGACCCTGAATTTGTGATCCAACATCTTTCATTTCACCTTTGTACTTCCTACTTGATGGATGATTTCTTTCCCTTGTATCTACCAGTTTCATTCCATCTGCCAGAGTTGCCTCAATTATTCTGTGACACATATCTCAAACTCTACTAACTCTAGAAAAGAGAATAAATAATATCATACATTTTAATAAGCCTCTAAAGAAAATTTAGTGGGAAATATAGACTACAGAGACAATAGAAAAGATCAATGAAACTAAGAGTTGGCTCCTTGAAAAGATAAACAAAATTGACAAATCTTTAGCCACATTAAGAAAAAAAGAGAAGACTCAAGTAAATAAAATCAGAAATGAAAGAGGAGATATTACAATTGATACCACAGAAATACAAAAAATCATAAGAGGCAATGAGCAAGAGAATATTATCAAGTTTATGACAACAAATTGGATAACCTGGAAGAGATAGATAAATCCGTAGAAACATACAGCCTACTAAGACTGAATCAAGAAGAAAAAGAAAATCTGAACAGACCAATAATAAGTAAGGAGGTTGAATAAATAATAAAAAATCTCCCATCAGAGAAAAGCCCAGGACCTGATGGCTTCACAGAAGAATTCTATCAAGCATTTAAAAAAGAATTCTATCAGCATATATCAAAGCTGGAGGCATCAGAGTATCTTATTTCAAAATCTATTACAAAGCTATAGTAATCAAAATAGCAAGATACTGGCATAAAAACAGACACATTGGCCAATGAAACAGGATAAAGAGCCCAGAAATAAATCCATGCGTTTATGGTCAATTGATTTTTGACAAAGATGCAAAGAACACACAATAGAGAAAGGATAGTCTTTTCAATAAATTGTGTTGAGAAAACTGGATACCCACAAGCAGAAGAGTGAAATCAGATCCTTATCTCACACCATATAGAAAAATCAATTCAAAATGAATTAAAGACTTACATGTAAGACCTGAAACTGTAAAACTACTAGAAGAAAACAGGGGAAATGCTCCATGACACTGGTCTGGGCAATGATTTTTAGATATGACTACAAAAGTTGAGGCAACAAAAGCAAAAAGCAGCACATGGGATTGCATCAAATCTTCTTCACAGAAAAAAAAATAATTAATAGAGTGAAGAGATGACCCACAGGTTTAGAGAAATATTTGCAAATCTGATAAGGGACTCATATCCAAAATATATAAGGAATCAAACAACTCAATAGCAAGAAAACAAATAATCTACTTAAAAAAAAAAAGGTCTAAATAGACACTTCTCAAAAGAAGACATACATGGCCAACAGATATATGTGCAAAAATGCTCTGCTCATCATCACAAATCACCAGGGAAGTGCAAATTAAAACCATAATGAGATATCACCTCACATTTACTAGAATGGCTATTATCAAAAAGATGAAAGATAAGTGTTGGCAAGGGTGTGGAGAAAGGAGAACACTTTGAACTGTTGGAGAGAATGTAAATTAATACAGCCGCAATGGAGAACTGTATGCAGGTTCCTCAGAAGACTAAAAATAGAATTACCACATGATCCAGCAATCCCACTTCTAGGTATAATCCAAAGGAATTGAAATCAGTATGCTATAGAAATATCTGCCTTCCCATGTTCATTGTAACATTATTCATAATGGTTAAGATATGGAAGCAACCTAGGTTTCCATCATCAGATGAGTGGATAAAGAAACTGTGGCATATACACACAATGGAATGCTATACAGCTTTAAAAAGGGGGGTAAATCCTGTTATTTGCAACAACATGGATGAACCTGGAGGGCATTAGGATAAGTGAAATAATCCAGGCACAGAAAGACAAATACCTCATGATCTCACTTAAATGTGGAATCTAAAATCTTGAACTCATAGAAGTAGAGAGTAGAATGATGGTTACCAGAGGCTGATGGAGGGAGGTAGATGGGAAAAGGAGAGATGCTGACCAAAGGGTACAAAGTTTCAGGTAGACAGGAGGAATAATAGTGGCTATAATAATTAATAATGAATTGCATATTTCAAAATTGCTCGTAACAAAATTGCTAAAAGAGCACCACAACAAAATAGAAAGTGTGTGAGGTGATAGATTTGTTAAGTAGCCTGATTTAATCACTTCGCATTGTAAATATATATCAAAATATTACATTGTACCCCACAAATATACATAATTATTTGTCAATTATAGATAAAAAAAAATTTTTTTAAAGAAAAAAAATGTGGAAAGGTGAACTCCCACATATTCTTTACAACCCAAATATCACCGTCTCCATGAACTTTTGTACTGGTGGCCCCACCAGAACATGCCCTGCTTTCCTCCACTGCCTTTGTATTCTGCTTCTGTTATGACTTCCAGCCCAGTAAGGATGTGTAATTATATATCTGCCTCTCTCTCCCATTAGGAAGTGAGCCTGTCAAAAGAAGCCCTTATTTTAACATAGAAGATACTGAACCCAAGTTGGATGAAATGGAGTTAAAGAACAAAATTGTATAAAAGAGGATAAAAATCCAATCTATACCTGGACTGATTTATCTGAGTACTTTTCAAATGCAAATGGATGTCCTCTGGAGATCCCTGTAAATCCTATTACAGTTTTAGTGATGAGCACATTATGATTTCAAACCACCACATTCTAATCTAAATGCCTTAGGTACTGACCCTGAGATATGTGAAAGAGTGCCAATGTGGTGGAAATAGCTTTTGGAGGCTTTAAATTTTTTTATCTTGTTTTTAAGACTATTGTCTTAAAAAATAAAGTCATTATTGAGTCACTGAGCTTCATGGTAACAATGAGAATTCAAGTTATCTTGCAAATTCTTCCTCTTATGATATAGTTCTTTAGGTTATTTAAAAAATTATACCACCAAGCACTGAGTTAAGATTTAAATTCTATGCTCACTGAATCAGATTAAAAATCAGATTGCTTTACTTACCTTTCCATCACTTCAGTTATAAAATTAAGTGGAGATAAAACATTTTTTAACATCAAAATGAGCAACAAGAAAAAATAACTAAATCTCATACCTCAAAAATAATCTCCTTGGGTTAGGTGCAGTTAAAAGGTACAGTTAATCCTGTCAGATTACATTTGGGACCATACCTGTCCTGTGTATGCAAACTCCAGAGCTTGCTTTAAGCCAAGGCTGGTCACACCATGCAAATTCACCTCATCAGCTCCACTTTCCACCATGCAAAGACTGAACATGGCCTGAGGTGGGGAAAGAAAGAAAGAGAATTATGGGACTTAAAAACCAAGGGAGCAAGACAAAGTCATAGAGAGATTAGGAAAAAAAAAGTTTTACAAATTAAATATAGATTTTGATTTTTGAAACACTTCTAAAAAGCTTCATACACACAAGCAAATCACCTTGATGTCTAAACAGTTACTGTAACAATGCACATGGTACCTCATTCCTCACACACACAGTCTCATTCAAGGTGATTATATTTAGGGTCACTAAATCGAATCCTGGATTCTCACTGCAACCAACTAATATGCAACAATCCTGAACATTCTGGTCAACAGGACAAGGAAAGTGGCACCTTTGTCTTCTGACATCTCTGTCTTTTTTCTGCATTCCAATGACATATCCTGTTCCTCTCATCTGCCATGTATCACACACTCCATTCCAGTGATTCTCAAAGTGTGGCCCCTGGACCATCAGTGTCACCTGGTAATGTGTTTGAGTGTAGATTCTAAAGGCTACACCCCAGATCTACTGAATCAGAAACTCAGAGTGGGCCTCAAGCAATCTGTGTTGTAGCAGGCCCTCGAGGTGACTGACACTCGAATTTGAGAACCACCATCTAAGTTATTCGGTGCAAATCAATTCGTCTCCAAACCAATTCTCCAAATGGCCAACTTATCAAAAGTCAGTTCTTCCACAAATGATTAGTATGTAAATGAAAACTTGAAAATTAAAAACATGCAAACTTTCCAAATGGAACAATTACATAAATTTTCTCAAACAAAGAAAAAACCCCACACTAATTTATACACCTTAACAAGTTTGACTTAACAAGTATGAAGAGAACAATCAATTTTGGTTATTGATGAAAAAAAGTGCTACTTAGCTCAGTTCTTCCACAAATGATTAGTATGTAAATGAAAACTTGAAAATTAAAAACATGCAAACTTTCCAAATGGAACAATTACATAAATTTTCTCAAAGAAAAAACCCCACACTAATTTATACACCTTAACAAGTTCGACTTAACAAGTATGAAGAGAACAATCAATTTTGGTTATTGATGAAAAAAAGTGCTACTTAGAAAAGTAACTTCTGTGTAGTGAAGAATTAACCTCACCCAAGAGAGGTCAGGCCTCAGCCCTTGGCTTCTGGGGGTAATCTCTAGGCCCTTGGAATGTCCTGCCTGGTAAAAGTGTCTTTGTTTGCCTGGGGGTTTTGGCCACCAACCATCTAACCACATGATTTGTGATGGGGTTTTGGATTACACCATATCAGTTCTGACCTCCAGAGGGACTGGAGACTCAAGGTATTAGCCCAAACTCCAGGAGAGGCTGGAGACTAAAGGTCAGCCACAGAGGCACTACGTTATTGAGCCCAAATAAAAACTCTGAACACCAAAGGCATGAGTGAGCTTCCAAGAGTGGCAATTCTTTGTGCATATTGTCATGTACTGTGTCCAGCAAGAAGTAACATTGTCTATTACTTTACAAGGAGAAGACAATCAGAAGACCGCATTTGGTTCTCCTCTGGACTCTGTCCTATGTGTCCCTTCCCTTGGCTCGTGCTTATGTGTATCCTTTCCCCGTAACAAACCATATCTATGAGTATAAATCTTTCAGTGAGTTCTGTGCTTTCTAGGGAATTATCAAACCTGACGATGCTTTTGGAAAGCCCCTTAAACTTGCAACTGGTATCAAAAATGAGACAAGTCTTGTGGACAATATTCCCTCAGATTTTGCCATTTGGTTAACTTCCTAGAAGTAAACTTCATAGTAGAAAAAAGCAAAAATACCTCACTATTCTATGTGGTAATTACTTAGTTCATGCTAAATTTTTTTTTAAATGTGATGTTTTTCTTTTAGTAATATTAATAATGTTATTAATATTTATGGTTTTATTAATATTAATATTAATATATTAATATTCATCTTTTAGCAATTTATTTCAAAAACTTTAATTTTGATTCTCACAATTCTATACTTCTTTACTTAATATGTATAGAATGGGCAATATAAATTGATGGCCCATTATTCATTCCTTCTAGAGATCTTCATTTCCATCTCACTGCATTAGAGAATTTTAAGTTTTCATAATGAAGAGGTTTCTCTTTGTTAGCTTAATTTATAATTAACATTTTTACTGTTAGAAATATAAAACCATTCCTCCCTTGTTATTAGAAGTTTTCTAAGGAATATTTTAAATGCTTACAATTGGAGAAAATAAAAAATAACATTCAAAATATCCTAAGGATATTGGGAGTGTTTAACGTGTAATATATGCAATTATATTTGATATATTTTTTAAAACATTCAGAATATATTTAACTTTCAAAAATTTACTTTATCTCAAATAAACAAAATTAAACATTCCTTTGAGACCAAGGATGATCACATAAAACAGTATACGAAGCATTTTACCTGTGTCAGCCCATCACTCAGGCCAGTACAACTTAGTGCCAAGAGAAATCCCCTTAGCCACTACATTCCCCTACAGGAGAAAAGGAGAGCAGGAGGACCTCTGCAGCCTCTGCTGCTGGGGACCCACAGAGTCTTTGCCAACACAGACCCTAGATGATGGAACTTCCTGGAATACATGTTACTGCACCCTCTGGAAGGGGAGCTGACAAAGTGCCCCCGCTACTCCCCCCTGCCTTAGAACCCTAGACCTGGCACAGTTGCATATGTGCCCACACCTTGGATGTGGTGTCACCACCCTTGTGTCCACACCCAGGACCTGGTGCCACCATGCACTCACTGGTCTCAGCCAGTGCCACACGACCCACAGAAGCAGTGCTGCTGCTTGAAAATGAAGGAGATATAACGACTTCCCCAGACAAACGAAAACTAAGGAAGTTTGTCACCACTAGACCTACCTTACAAGAAATGCTTAAGAGAGTTCTTCAAGTTGAAATGAAAACATGCTAAACAGCAATATGAAAACATAAGAAAGCATAAATCTCACTGGTAAAGGTAAATATACAGACAAATACAGAATAACTTAACACTAATAATAATGCAAAAATTTGTTAATAAATACACAATATAAAAAGAAAGAAACTCTGACTACAAGAACACAAAGTGTTGGAGAGGTGGTAAAAGTATAGTGTTTATACGCAGTTGGAGTTAAGTTGTTATCAACTTAAGATAGAATGATATAACTACAAGATATTTTAGGCAAGCCTCAAGGTAACCACAAAGAAAAGAAAGTATAATAGATACATCAAAGAGAAAGAGAAAAGAATCAAAGCAAATCATTACCAAAAAAAAAAAAAAAAAATCAAATATCTAAGGAAGATAGATAAGAGAAGAAGAGAAACCATTTCTTTTCAACATTGTACTGAAAATCCTAGCCAGAGCAATTAAACATGAAAAAGAAAAGGCATTCAAATCAGAGAGGAAATAGTAAAATTAGCCATTTTCAGATAATTTGATCATAAATGTAGAAAACCCTATAGACAACAAAAAATCTGTTAGAACCAATAAATTAGAGCAGTAAAGTAGCTACATACAAAAATACAAAAGACATACAGACTAATAGAACAGCATAGAGAGCCCAGAAATAAATCCATGCATCTATGGTCAACTTACCTTCAATAGGGTACCAAAAACACACAATGAGAACAGCCTCTTTGATAAATGTGGATACCCTCATGCAGAAGAGTGAAATTGGACCCTTATTCTGACACCATACACAAAAATCAACTTAAATTACATTAATAATTTAAATGTAAGACCTGAAACCATGTAGAAGAAAATGTAGGGAAAAAGCTACTCAATAATGATATGAGCAATGATTTTTTTGGATATGATACCAAAAGCACAGTCAACAAAAGTAACAATAGACATTGCATCAAACCAAAAACTTCTGCATAGCAAAGGAGACAACCAACACATTAAAAATGAAGCCTACAAAATGGGAGAAAATGTTTGCAAACATATATCTAATAAGAGGTTAATATCCAAAATATATAAGGAACTCATACAATTCAATAGCAAATAATAATAGTAGTAATAATAATAAAAACAACTGTATTAAAAAATGGGCAAAGGACCTGAATAAACATTTCCCCAAAGACATACAAATGGCCAACAAGTATATGAAAAGGTGCTCAACATCACTAAGTATCAGGAAAAAGCAAATAAAAACCACGAGACATCACCTCACACCTGTTAGAACGGTTATTACCAAAAAGAGAAAAGGTAAGTGTTGACCAGGGTGTGGAGGAAATGGAAACCTTGTTCACTATTGGTGGGAATGTAAATTGAGAGAGCATATGGGAAACAGTATAGAAGTTCCCCCCAAAACTAAAAACAGAACTGCCTTATGATCCTGCAATCCCACTTCTGGGTACACATGCAAAGGAAATGAAATCAATGTCTCAAAAAGATATCCGCACTCCCATGTTCATTACAGCATTATTCTTAATAGCCAAGATATGGAAACAACCTAAATGTCTGTTGATAGATAAATGGGTAAAGAAAATGTGAAATACACGGACACAAACACATACACACACAATGGAACATTATTTAGCCTTTAAAAAAAAGGAAATTTTGCCAGTGTAACAGCATGGATGAACCTGGGGAACAGTATATTAAATGAAATAAGCCAGACACAGAAAGACAAATACTGAATGATCTCACTTGTATGTGGAATCTAAAATACTCAAACTCAGGTGCAGAGAGTAGCATGGTACTTGCCAGGGTTGTTGGGGGAGAGGGAAATTATGAGCTGTTGGTTAAACAGTGCAAAGTTTCAGTTATGCAAGATGAGTAAGTTCTAGAGATCTGATGTACGGCAATGTGACCATAGTTAACGATACTGTGTTGTATACTTGAAATTTGCTAGGAGGGTAGATTTTAAGTGCTCTCACCACAAAAGAAAAGAAAAGGAAGAAAAAACGAAAAAAAAAAAAGAAATGGTAACTATATGAGGTGACAGATATGCTAATTTGTTTAATTGTGGTGATTACTTCTCAATGTATACATATATTAAAACCTCCGAGTTGCACACTTTA